CCATCTTTTCCTGGGCTCCTTGCGTCTTGGCTAAATCTGCCTGATCCGTACCCAGAGCCTTATATTTTTAATTTGCAGACATGAATAAATTCCAGAAGCCATGTTACGTAAGAACATAAGCTGTGGATAGCGTTTAATCCCCTAGTTGTCCCTTTGTTTTTTCTTAAGCGGAGGTCTCGAGCACGCGAGCACCCGCGGCGGAGCGCCATGGTTAAGAAAATTTGGTTATCTGTGCACCCAAGAAATTATGGTAGTCACGTGGTCGTACGTTCGTCCGCCTGTCCGTTGACACCACAGGGAAACGAATGTGTAATGTCACATTTTCTGGCTGGTATTAGAGCCTAGCCTGTAACCTGTGTTTAACATTCATGTTATTGTCAATCGACAGCTGTCAAATAAAGGTATCCGCTGACCAAAATCACTTAAGGCTTAGGTACCAACTCATCGAGGTCAAGTGTTTTTTAGCTTTTGTCCAGCTGAATAGTTAGCTTTCAGTTGATCGCAAGCTCAAGTTTTATATTTTCATAAGTCAAATATATACATTACACAGTCTCTACGACAACCACGGCTACTTTACCAAGCCTAGTAAGACCAAGAAGTGAAAAAATAATTCCATAACAAAGACGTTTGAGACAACGTTTGTTTAGTAAAAGCCTCTGGTTTAATTTCAGTTCATTTTACGCTTTTTAATCCGGTTGGTCAGTTGATTCTGTATACAGTCGAACCTCCACTAACTACCACCTCTCTACATCAACGGCCACTTTTTTGGCGGACAGTCCATAGATTCCTTCATTCACTTATTCATTCATTCAGGTTGCCTCAGCCGAGCTAGTAGTCTCCCTGAGCCGCCCAGTCTGCTTTGTTTTCCCTACAGGCTTAGAGTTCGCTGGTGGATGCTGCTCCAGCGTCCCTCATCAGAGTGTTTATGAATGTTGACACGGGGCGACCGCGTCGTAGATGTCCCTGTGTTGGCAGACAAAGGACAAGCTGGCTTGCTGCAGATCGCGGTGACTGTACATGTGGCAATGGCCAGCAAGACCAAGCCTTCTGAATCTGGCACTGTCTGACAAATTTGGAAAGACGCCATACAGTTCGACGTTGACGACTTAGCACAGTTGGTATCGCCAAATGGTATCAAGGACAACGGCTACCTCTCTAAAAGGTGACCGTTGTGGACAGGTTCAATTGTACGCACTGAAAAATCTTAATATTGTACCCAGATAGAATTTAAAATTTTGAAATAGAAACAATTGCCCTTTGCTTTTTTGTTTTTGTGCAAGAGAGGAAGATCGCTTGTTTTAAAAGCAGGTTACGTTTTTACAATTGTGCCATTTCGCGGTTCTAAAACGTTGTTTTACTACCTGCTATTGCTATGTTGTTTTTGCTGCTCAGTGTGGTAATCAAAAGCCTTGTGCTTTATTGTTGTGCTGAGTCGACTGCTGACCCAAATACCCATCTCTATTCTCCCCCTGATCTCGTTTCGCTCGCGTGACATGAGCATAAGAAATATAGGGCTAAAGATAAGCGACGGGCGCGAGGGAGGATACACTTCTTGCAGTCCGCCTTTTCTCTTAAAATCCGTGAAGTTCTTATCCCAGCCAGCAATAGTGCAAAAAACGACTTTACGCATGGAATAATTCAGTTGTGGAAAGAAAAATGAAGAGGCTGCTCGCAGTCTGGAGGGCGGAAGACACCAAAACAAAAGTGCAAGGTCACCTGTAGCTTCACTTCAAGTCAATGCCAGGATACTTAATACACAACTGCAAAACAGTCTATTACAATAATCACCATAAGACATTGTTCTGCAAAATAATGCTTTCTCGTTTTATTACCTTACGTCGTTTACAATATAAACGAATGAATTTATATAACAAGCAAAACGACCATAATTTAGTCATTTTGGAGTTTTTCCAGGTATATAAATGTCATATATTAAAATATTATTCTTCACAAATGGAATATAGGTGTATCAAGGTAATAAATAAATATATACACCCCAGTTAAGTATGCTCAATTTTTGGGATACAAAATTTTATCAAATTACCAGTAAGGGTACGCAATATATGTTTTGGATTTAGCAAGGCTTAATTATATCTCTTCGCTACAATATTTTCGTGGATATATTTCTTACTTTTGGGTGTATTTGAGATGCTTCTTTGTAAAAGGAAATAGATATTTTAAATTGCCCATCCATCTGCCCGTCAGAAATACAACGTGGGGATACAAAAGACCTTGCTCACGTACCACTCAAAGCCGGTTTGCACGCTACGATTTGTCATCGTAATTAAACCCTTTCATTCCTAATGGTGGCCAAAGTGAAAAAAAGACATTCAAATTGATTTTTTGTAAAATCCTACGATTTCAATATTACTATTCAAAGAATCATCTCAAGAGGTTTCATTTGAATGGAAACAGCACGGGATTTCGTCCTCAGATACAAAAGCTTGGATGGCAAAACATCTCACCATAACTTGGTTTAGGAAAGAAAGGATTTATTACCGATGTTGCACGAAAACTGACGCATAAAAACACATAAATCGGTTGCACTGCAACAGAAGTTAGGTCAGTAGGCCAATTCTCGTCTCTGCGATACCTTTTAGTTAAAAAGATCCGCAGGTAATTCCTAGCGCGTGGATTAGCTATGATGCTAACCCGACAGATTGCACAAATCGTGGCGTGTGAAACGGCTTTAATCAAGATGATAGCCAGCCACTGCTCGGGAAATGAGCCCGCGCTCAAGTCTCTCCTCGTGCAGGAGCAAGACTGGACCCGAGAGAGTGGCTGGAATCGAGGCTTTACAGGATCTGGCGAAAGCAAAGTCACTAAATGCTAAAGATTTATGTAAGAATGTCACGAAATGAGTGACACGAGTCCAACGAGTGATAGCTAATGAACAGTACTCTTTCGTGATGTTTGTCTCCTAGCTTCTGACAAGGTAACAAATTACTGTGAACATGGACTTTTGTGCTTCAAATTCGACTTCCAGTTAAAGTTGATTACTACATTCTCATAGTAGCTGAGAGTCTAAACAGTATCACAAAGTATACAACAGCGAATCAGAAACGGCCGCCAGGGTTACAAAACGTTTATAGAGAATACTTCATGGAAAGTGCTGGCGTACGGTATTTACGCACGAGTTGTTGACGTATCAGAAATCGAACGAGTGAGCGCAGCGAACGAGTAAGATTTCTGATACAAAAACAACGAGTGCGTAAATATCGTACAAAGCACTTTCCATGTGGTATTGTGTTTATTATATACATACCGAGACATTCATCATTTTGGCGGCCTTTTTATTTTAAATCTTTCAAAAATGCTTATTTGCCGCTCCACACTTGCCGCAAAATGACAACGAAAACGAAGTATCAGCTTTTTAGTAAAAACGGTTGTTAAAAACTTAAATGACGTTAAGGATATGAGGTAATCCAAGAACTATAAGTAATCTTAACTGTTTGTTGTCAATGCACAATTGAAAATGAGTGAATTTAAATAAAATGGCCGGTTTCAATATAAGCTTAAGCTTAAATGAAAGGCAAAGTAGCTCCGACAAAAAGCACAACAAAAGCTTACGTCTCGTTCTGTTTTTCCCTTTCCGCTGTTGTTTCGCCGGCTCTCTACAGTTTTCTTTATCGACAGTGAAACAAACGAAACTATTCCACTCCATTTCCGAAATGTTTTTCACTTTTGTAGCGAGAAAAACTCTTTGAGTAAAACTTTTCTCGTTGAATGTGTGCGAAGCGGCGCTGCAAGCTGCAATAAAAGGCGGGAATTTTGGCGCGAAACTCACACACCTCTGTGGCCTCTGATTGGACGTATCATTTTTCTCACACGTGAAAAAACATCGTTCGCGATTCTGATTGGACGTATCATTTTTTTCACGTGTGAAAACCATCGTTCGCTCCTCTGATTGGCTAGAACTAATTTACGACATAGCTTTTTGGTGAGTATTTCTCAGTATGTATATAATAAACTCTAATACTCCATAGAAAAGCATATTAATACAACTATCGTTATAAACAAGCCACAAAAATACAGAGCTCCTCAAACTTTTATAGAGTAGTTCTCTTTCGTTAAAATAAAAAGACAACTTAAATTATACTTTTTAGAAGTTCTCGGTCTGTTTGTACAACAACATCGATTTAGTTTGACTACAAAAACGCAAAAAAAATAATTATAACAAACTACCTACCTAAAAGTTACAACACTAACCAAAGACTGCGGCAAATACATGTGAATATTCTTAGCAATTAATATTAACGAGGGGAAGAAATTTCTCTCCATACTTTTTTATGTTTTTTCTTTCTGTTATACCCAGTGCTCACTTGTACTAGGATTTACAGGCGATTTCACTTGTTTTGGAGGAAGATGAGGAAATCTTTCCCTGAAAGAAATATGAATAAATACATAAATAAAAATGGAAAGTCATTGGTTACTTCGGGGTACTATGTTGTTGTCACGCGATTGACTTAAACTGACATATCCACCAACCTGGTGGAAAAATTAAAAACTGGTCATCACCTGGTTGTGTGCGCTTTTCCGCGCTGAACACCAGCGACCACACGCATTTGCTCTGAGTATTGATTGTTTTGTCTGCCTCAGTTGTTTTGGGGGTTGTCGTCTTGTTTTGTTTTGTTTTGGTTAAAAATGCTCAGACACACCCAAAGAGAACGTGAATGCACAAACTACTAACAGCTGCGTTGCCGTAAACTAAATGTAAGGTTTTTCGAGAGTTTCGTGATTCACTCACTTCGTATAAATACTCAAACAAAGAAAGCTAAACTTCTATTCACCTCAATGCCTTGTGGCTTCTTCTCGAGTAAGGACTTCTACCGCGATGACTGTGAAAGTTTAGACTTCTAAATCCCTGAAAACAACAAAGACTAACATAAACATAGAGACAACTATGCTTTAAATTTGACGAAGGCTTAACACTTTCTCTCTTCTATGATACTTCAATTACCAATGGGAGGGGGGCGGGCGGCTGGGGCGGACGGCTTTTTAGCCAGAACAAGACATCACTTTGATTTTCAAGTTCAGTTCTCTCCTTCAGGATTCGTCACTTTAGAAACGAGAGGGTAACTGGGACGAGTTCATTTTCGCAAAGACTTCTGAGACTGTTACAAGAAACAAGGGAAAAATTAGCCAATAGGTGACCGGCACGCTCGCAGTAACGATCCCAGAAACAATTGCGGGACACATTTCGTCTCCGGTTCTCTTCCGGTTTCTATAGTGACGCATTGGCAAGGGAAGGGAGAATTGTGCAAGCTTCTGTTCGCCAATAATTGTTATTTCGCTTTTGGAAACTTGTTCTTTAACCACCAGAATAAGACCAAGGCAGTCCCGTAGCCAAAAAATTATAAAAAATAAGGTTTTATAACTTACTTCCACATCTCTCAGAAGTGTTTGAAACTCTTCACTCTCTTCAATCCACTTGGGAATTTCAGTGAAACCTCCGTCGATGGCTTCCTCGATTCGCTTCTTTAGCTGGGATAACCGTTTAATTTCATCGTTGACCTGAAGCTAAATCATAAAAGGGGAAATATGGTCACCTTTGGTTACCTTTGGTGTGCGGTTTCACCTTTGCACCCAATGAAATAATACTTGTGTAACTCTGTTATGACTGAAAGGTCTTGTGTCCGGGCTCAAAAGCCGGAATTCCCTGGGAAAACAGACGGTGGGGAGGGAAGAAAGCCCCGAATTGATCCAGCAGCCCCTTCTCTCCCAGACTGGCCAATTTACCCTTATTACATTTAATTGATTGGTACCCGCTAGGCGTGGACCTACAAACATTTACTTAGGGTTATAATGAGTTTGCGACTTAAAGAGGAGTAAAAAATCCTTTTTAGGAGTTCAAATTGTTTAAGTGAGTTCACAGACCTGCTTGGCTCTGGAGGCCTCTAAGTGTAATTCCAAGTCCATAGCTGTTCGGCCGCTTCCTTCTTCAAAATGGGGTATAAGCTGTTGGTATTGCTGAATCCCTTGCCACGACATTGGGCGCTGCAAATGAACAAACAGAACATTACATCTGGATTCTCTGTGAACCATTGTGCCAACGAAACCTTAAGGTTTTCAAGTAGGTTTTGGCCGATGAAAAGAAAAACCATTAAGCTGTCACTTATGTCCAATACCCTCGACTACATTCCAGTGGACAAAACCCTGAGTCCAATGAAGTCTGGTCGAAAAATGAAACCGGAAGTACAGTCCGGTCCACTTGAGTTACCGGAAGTCTAGTCATAAGATGAAACCGGAAGTGTAAACAATACTTTGAGGAGGGTTGGAAAGTCGTCCGATGCCTGGGAAAAAAGCGGCACGATACTGTTTAAACGTAATAAAGGACTTTTTAGGATTTACAGTCAACTCGTGTTACAACGGACGCCATTGGGACCGGCTCTCAGTGTCCGTCTTATAGAGAGTCAAATAAAGGGAGAAAAGGAATGTAGGGACTGTCCGTTTCACCGAGGTGTCCTTGTTATAGAGGTGTCCTTTGGAGAGTCGACTGTACTTTAAACGTATAACGTTTTACGAGAAAGCACTCGAGTACTGTTTTCCTTCAAAACTTTTGTTCGGTTCTGTTTGTTGTTTAGCTGTTTTTCTTTCTCTCTTTCTCTCTCTCTCGTTCCTTTTTTCTTTTGACCAATCGGTGAGATAAAAGACATTACTAAAGTTCTCGGAATCTCCACTCACCTTTTTTCGTCTCATACTCGTTCGTTCCACTGACATGCGTACGAATGGACTGACGTCGGTTTTCCGTGTGGTACAGTCCGAGTTACTGCGATTCAGATTGATGTCATAGAGCGCGTTGCCCAGCTGCATCATCGGAACCTCGTCATCTTCACCCTTTGAAAATAACGCCAGAGTCTTATTAATTCATTTGTTTCTGACCCATATTGCCAAGGCTAAGTAGAAAGTGCGCCGGATCGACCAAACAACTATCTCGTTTATCATTTTCTACACTAACAGACTTTCCCATTGTTTTTTTTCTTTTCAAGTTTTGATTAAGACCAGAAAGCGAATATTCCGAGAGCGCTTTAGACTGCGAGCAGCCTCTCTTTTCCTTCAGATTTAGTAAGGGGAGTACACGCGCGCGACGCGAGAAACGAGGGAGGCAGCCCGAGAAGAAAAAAGAGAGATTCTCTTTTGTCGTGCCTCTCCCGTCTCGCGCCTTCAGTCACGCACGCGTGTTTTGGGCGATTTTCTCGACGGACCAAGCAAAAAGAGAGACTGCTCGTAGTCTAAGAGCGCTTTGAATTAGTAACCTTACCAAGTTTAAAAGTAAATCGCCTATAGCGAGCAAAGATATTGCTCCAAAAAGTCTCGAAATTTTACTGACCCTCGTAAGGTGGGGGGCATGAACTTGCCCCCACCATACAAACACCTGTACAATTTTGCGACTTTACCATCGCTACTTGGAAAGATCTATTGACTCTTCGACTTTCTGATTCAGCGTTTAGAATCTCTTAAATTTGACTACGAAGATCTTCCAAGCACTTACATGTACTGGGAACAATCCTAGGGGTTGCGGATCAGAAAACTTGCGAGAGTACTTTGACCTTCCCAGCAGGGGTCTGGAACGAGCTACAGGCGATCGTTCGAAGTCACTGTCTCTGTCCTGCAGAGAACCACCGCTGATCACACTGTCGCCCTGAGACTGAGCCCTCTCTACCGGCCTTCCAGCGGTACGTTTGCGTATAGGTTGGCTTTCCCCTGGCTGGTTCAGTACCTCTTGACTCACTGATGTAAATGGCACCCGCTCAAACCCAACCGCTGACTCGAGACTGAACATAGAACCCTCGCACTGTTAAAATAGGAATAAAATAAAAGCTAGTCAGGAAGACATACAGTCAACTCTCGCTAAAACAGACACTTAGAGTTGGTCTCTGCCTTTCTTCGCTCCTTTACGTTGACCATCTCTTTAAGACAGGCACATAGTGGCGGCCGGTCCCAGAGGTGTCTATCTTAGAGAAAGTCCACTGTATTACAAAAACACGCTTGATCATAATAAGGACAGCTGACAGGCCGATAGACATTTTAATTTGGTCGAGAGCCTATATCCTGATTTGGTGACAACAAGTACAAATTCAAAACTAGAAAACTTACTCAGACTTTACCTTGCCTTATTTGTACTTTGTAAGCGTTAGTAAAACAGAGGACCGCAGTGAGCAGATTTTCTGGGCTTGTTAGGGGCGTGGCAATTCAATAAAACGGTTTACAAAGTTTCTTTTGGGGTGGGTGACACTAGAGGTTTATGTCACGAATAACGTTTCTGGATTATTCGGTGTCACAAACGAAATTTTCATTTTTCATTTTTCTTTTTCACAGAAACTCACCCATGAGCTGGGTCGCAGATTGCCTCGTTTTGACTCGTTTACACTATCCAAAGACAGGGAATTGCTCTTTCGCGGGTACTTGGCAGCCGCTGACTGGAAAAACTGCAAGTAAAGTGGAGAAATACTTGTTGGTTCTCAGTTTCTGTGATCATCACTTGCGTTTTTCTTTTACATTAACTAGTAATAGTTGACACTACAGCTGTCCCTGCTCTGTATATTGTCGGTCAATAGTATTCTTACTCGTTGTGTAGCTCTTTGAAACATGCCGATTCATAATGAAGTTTTTCACACATATTCCATGGAATAGGTTCTGGGCGAAATCCCTGCGGGGGCAATTACGATTTTCTTTCGAGACTCACATAACTATGATATCGAAATAGAAATAAACGCAGCGTATACAAAAGAGGTCGAGAACAACTATTTTTTTCCTTTACATTTTATTTTATGAAACTACTTTATTTTTTTTACACAACCCGCCTCGAATAGCCTTTGCAACCTGCGGGTTGTGCATGAATTTATTATTCTACCAAAGAGTTTGAAATTAATAAACTTGTTGTTGTATTTTACTTACCGCGCAACTTAGGAGGTTATACCATCGAAATCGCACCGGAGTTTGAACGTTAAAATCCGCTAGGCTGATTTGTGCCCCGCCCTTAAAATATAATAAAGAAATCAAGCAATCATTAAAATGCTGACATATCTCATTTACAACGATCAAATTATGATGAAGGAAGATGTCGACTTACCAAAAGCTCTTCCGTCTCCAAGGTATTGACAGTAAGGATGTTCACTTGAAGGGTCTTACTTGTCAGTTTACTCTGCAAGAGATAAAAATGACAATGATAAATATAATTTCTCCTCTCAAAAATTCCTCTCCTTTACAGCCAAAGGTTACGTTAACACCTAAATTCACTTAGCGCGGAATCCGGATCCTGGGACATACTTAAACCGAAATAATTATTCGCCATTTGCACATCTCCCATAATACATCTTGTTTGTCCCTCAACACTTTGTACAACCTTTGTTTCTGATTTCTCCTGGGTAAAACAGTGGTCCCAAGAGAAATATAAGACAATGTGTAAGTAAGTGTAAGTAAACCAATCTAAAATTTTAATTCAAAACTACAGTCAACTCCCTCTAAGAATGACCCCCATGGACCGGCAGTGCGTGTCCGTCTTAGAGAGATGTCCGTCTTATAGAGAGTTAAGGAAAGGGAGTAAAGAAAGCCAGGGATCAACTCTGGGTGTCCGTTAAGAGAGAGTTGACTGTATAAACAATGTCTTTCAAGCTGTAGTTTGGGTCTATGATATTTATGACTTGCATGTTTACTGTTTAGCCTACCCAATCAGATCACAAGACACTATCACTGTCATCTTATTAGACCCTGGTTTCAGTCGAAGACTATTCGACAGCACATTGATTAGCCTACGAGCAGGTTCACTAATGCGAGTTCGGTGAAAAGTTTTTGGCGGCGGAGCCCTTATCCAGCGAGGAAAAGTAACCATTCTCCTTGCTTAATGGCAGCTACGCCGCCAAAATAATTTTCCCCGAGTTCGCGCAAGTGAGCCTCTTCGCAGACTATACATTGACGAGTTGAGTTGTCCGCGCGTTTTCCAGAAACATTCTCCTATTCTTAAGCATTCTTCGAGGGGGAACCGGTTACATTAATCTCAGCACGAAGGTAACTTCTCGAATTAGTACCCCCCCCCTCCCCCACGCTCAAATTTCCCAATCGCCCCATGCCTGAGTGAGTGACGACTTTGTGTAAAATGAAGTGCCGGTGTGGTTTTCTTACTTTGGCAAGCGGGATGTGAAACTGCTCTCCAAACACTGGGTTTTCCTGATAATTACATGGCTTTGTTTCCAAGATACAGCGTTCACTCGGCGCACACGGCAATAGCGCAGCTTTGACGAACATCGTCTTACATTGCGTCGTGCTTCCAAGAGCTTTTAAGCCCTTTGCTTCGTCAATACAAACGACCAAGGCCTCGCGATCGACATCGTACGTAAGTCCGATTTTAACCTGTGACGTTTCCGTTGAATCTTCATCAAAGTCTCTTCTTGATCTCAAGTCACCGTTGCTCTGGGAGGCCTTGAGGTTTTCTTGAGACGCGTCGAACACCCCGCTGTCGGCTGCTACCGATTCATCCGACGGCGCAGCGGTAACGGGTCGAGACCCCGTGGGGGGTAAAGACACTTCGCAACGTCCCAGCGGAAGTGCTGGAATTCCCTCCGTGATAGGAGACAAGGGGATAAAGGGAATGGCGTTGATAGATTCGCTTGATTTGGACTCGGTGGTTAGGAGACGAATTCGCTGTTGAACTGGTATCCCTTCAGCCTGAAATAAAAACAACAAAGAATGAGAAAGGAGTGAGGAAAGAAGGAGTGCAAGAACGAAAAAGTAGAGTGTCAAAGAGCGGTTGGGGATAGACTGAAGTTTTAGGAAGGAGGAACACAGAGACCGGACACTTTCCGACGGCTGGCAGTCTGAACGCAGACGTCTCCATTTTCCTTGCTTCGAAAGGAAACGGGACCTATGCACAAAGAGGTCACAAAACACGTTACAGCGACCTTTTTTCTGCAAAAAGGCGAAGGTAGGATAAAACTAACCTGCGTTAAAGAGCTCCTCTCTAACTCCGTACCGTCTAAAACAGCAGTAATTTCCCCTTCGGTGGCCACAACCCGAGCAGTTGCCGGAGACTGCGTCGGTGAGCGATCGCTAGTACTAGGAGAGATAGGGGGTGAATGCGAAGACAACGACATAGAGTCACGTGACGACAGCGACACTTGTGACGAGTTACTCGCACTTGGATGCGTCGCTCTACCGGAAGTGGGAGTATAGCTCGTTGGAACACCAAATGTCCGTACTCCATACATAGGTGGAAACGCCGCAGTCGCGTCACGCGGCATTGTTTGAAGCATATCTGTCACGCGCTGGTGGAGTTCTCGTAGATTGAGCATCTCACTTCCACCACTGTGACTCATATCAGGGTAGTTAAGCGAATTCAGTGAGCCTCGGCTTGATGCTGATAGAGAGCCCCGACTTCCGGATAACGAGAGGGATCGACTTGAACAGGAGGACACAGAGGGCGTGCTTCCGGAAAGACTGAAGAGAGTAAAATAAACAAATCATAAATTAAACAGCCATCAATGAAACGCTTGACATCCGTAAACATAAAATAATAATAATAATTATAATAATAACAATAATTATAATAAGATATATAACGTAAGCTTACCTTTTAAGTTGCATGTTGAGCAAGTTGGTAAGTTTGGTTTGCTCTGCAAGTTTCAGAACCAACATGGATTTCTCGGTCTCCAGTTGATTCCTATCGGCTAAAACCCGCTCAGAAAGTAGTCGAGCTGAGTCAAGATCCGCTGACAGTTTATCTTTTTCTTCTTCAAGTTTTTGCTGCAAGACACATCACACAGAAGGAAGGTGATTATTAACAAAAAAAAGCGCTAGACATATGACCATTTGGATCATGAGTTCAAGATTGATAAAGGAAAGTTGGACTTCGATATTTCAAGCTGTTTCGTGGAACTCTCAAACTTTCTTGACTGAGTTGTTGGTGTGGCAAGTCATCCAACCTTTTCTCGCACCACAATCAAAATCTGGCCAATCACAGACACTCAGAAGTCTCAAATGAACCAATCAGATTTCGTAGTTATAGCACGATGCTAACGCAAAGCGCGGGAAAAAAGTGTGGCCACAAAGATATATTTGAACACCAACAGAAAGTTGGTAAAAACAGAGTCAAGACTTACGCTTAACACTAAAAGGTTTTTAAAAGTTGTAGCAGTTCTGCATCTTTCACAAAACCTGCTTTAAACCAAGACACTTTTGGGGTGCTGACGTTGTCTTAGGTTTTCACAGGAAGAAAATTGGCAACAGGCAAACAGCACGCGGGTAGAGGTAAGTTTGAAAATCACTGTGTAAGCTTAGACAACTAAAAACGTTGAGGTTATTTTTTAACATAAGCTGCCTTTTTACCTAATATCACTACGAAGACAACAACATGCCAATCCTTAATGAAGCATTCCTAACTGATATTTTAAGATTTTATAGAAAAAAAGTTAAAACAAACCTTTTCTCCTTCGGATCTAACAAATGATTGGAATCGTCGAAGTTCCTCAAGTAAAGTCTCTTTTTCATGCAAGAGGCCTGGCTTTAAACTTGCGTTATTATCATCCTGAGTAATTCTCTCTTCCAACCGTGAAATTTCACTTTGTAATTTTGATTCAGTTTTTCGAGCGTCTTTATATTCAGCTTTTAATTCTTGTCTGTCGCGTCTAAGTTGCTCGGTCGAGCGTACTTCGATGGCAGAGTCAGAACCAAGATCTAGTTGTGATCCAACACTGATTTTTACATCGCTAGAATCTTCTCTCGCCTAGAAAGAGGTGAGGACAGAGAAAATTAATATGATTTTTAAGAAATCTATCCCTATGGAAAGCAGCTTAAAAGAACATTTTGAAATTATAAAAAGAGGGAGAAAATAGACTATGAGTACTGTTAGTACCCTTTGAGACCCAATATCCACATACAAATTCTGCCAACCGACGTCCAAACATTTCCTTAAGGAATAAGTTGAGAGTAGTTGATAAAAAATCAAGGCACTTTCTTTTTGGTGATAATTTTATTAATTCTTATAATTTTTTGTCTTAATGGTGCAGTGATATTGTTGGAAGAAAATTGATGTCGGTCACTCTTGGGACATAATAGTAGCTTGTGGCGCAAATGTTTTCTTCAGGAGCATGAATGTTTTGCTCACGAAAGCGCCATAAGATCAAAGATGGCGGCAAAACAATACGAACATAAAGAAGGTTTTGCCCGCCCAAACTATGCCTGCCCTGCAGGCTACATAAAGGGTTTCAAAATGATCTTAAAATGGCAAGTACCAATGCTACATTGTAAGATTTAGGGAGATGTCCTCCAATAATACAGAGGTTCTGAGCCCACGTTTCACAGCAACACAACAATGCAAAATCTTGGTTGCCTACCTCTACTGAGGAATCAGGATGCGACAAGTTGTCTTTGAGTCTCAGCAAAGCTTGAACGAGGTCTTTCTTCTCTTGCTCTTTTAGGAACAAAGTTCTTTCCATGCTCTGAATTTCCTCCACCAACCCTTGAACATCTTCCTTTTTACATCCTGCATGTGAGGACAATTTTCTATCCACTCTTTCCAATGTTTTGTAGCCTTCCTTACCAGCTTGCACCTCATTTGAAACATTATCCATTTCTTGTTTAAGCTCTTCAACCTATTAAGACAGCAAAGACGTTTTAACTACTGCACTACTCACTTTTCACAGCAATGATCTATCCTTGGCCATGAAAGCCATCACTATTTAACAAAACAAAGGCAAGGGAACAGGGGTAAGGTTCGGGGGGGGGGGGGAACTTCACACTTGACACAAGTTTGGGCTCAGGAGTTTCACTGATTGTTCGAATCCCTGACCCTGTTTAGCACAAAAAACAAACGTAAAATATCTACTGTGTATGGGATAATGAACTCTGTTCAGACAGATAAGCTAACATAAATTATTATACACCTTGTTCAGGGGCCCATTTATTAAATGTCCTGGTGACTCTTCAGGTCTGGAAAAGCTGTTTTATGTTTGCCCCCTTTGCATTCAAGATCAAAGTTTCAATATTGAAAATGATACAATGACTTTATCAGTTAACAAAGCAAACTTGACCGGTTTGGGAGCAAGGGACTGTGCTACTATTCAACAGGCGAAAACCATAAAACTGTATCTAAGCACAAGGAAAATCACTTCACACAGAAAAACTCTCAACCTACACATCACATCTCCTTAAACACAGGAGGCACTTTAAATGTTTTGCTACTGCCATTGCTCCTGAGAAAAACAATACACTACATGACTCGTTTGTCAGAAAGCTACATACCCTGGCCTTAGCTTGAGATATCTCCCGCTTCAGCTGGTTGACATCATACTTGCTAGTGATAGAGCTCACTGTTGAACTTGATGAAGATGAACTCAAGCTGCCCTGCTTTACGTGCATTGGTTGCTTTTCTTGACGTCTTTCTCGCCTCTCAAGCTCCGAAGTCCAAAATTGAACCTGCAGGTCACAGAAGCCAAACTTAGAACTAAGAAGTTTACTGAGCCTGAGACATGTGTTTCACAGTGACTGTGTGACGATCCAAAAGTGCAAGAAACTTACCAGTATTTTTCCCTGAGCCATGTTCTTAGCCCATATAGCTTAGACCCTAAGTATTTTTCTTAACCACAAAACGATTCTACTTTCACTCAGCAAGAGACAGTTGCTGTTGTCGTTGTTATTGTCGTATTTGTTTCCAGAGTGTTCAGTTCAATTTTAACCTTGGTGTAATTTTTATGTAGAGGTAGTAGAAGAATGAGGATAAAACAACGAAGATAAAAAAGAAATTTCCTATCTCAAGTTTTATTTCCTTTGTATAAAATACAACATCATACACTGGCATTGCACAAAAACAAAAAAACCGTGAAAGCTTGCTAAAATCATTTTCATACATTTCTATTACCCTACCTCTTGACAAGCCACATTGAGCCTCTGCTTTTTAACATCCAACATGTTTTGCTTTGCCTGTAATTTTAAATTTTCAAAATTATATCATTCTGTGAAACACACCAAGAAAAAGTTATTATTTAAATTATCATTTATAATTAATAATTATCGTTATTATTATTACTACTATTATTATTTAAATTAAGCATAAATTTCTAGCAAGGAAACTATTAAACATTGATTAGAAATATTACTACCACCCTTTTATGACCCCATTCAAGTTCGGTCTAAAGGGAATCCTAATTTTGAATACAAATAAGGAATTTTGGGGGCTGGTTTAAACGATTCCTGACCTTCAGTTGAAAAAAAGAAGGAAGAGGGTGAAAGTGATTCAAGCACAAGAGTGACTAACATCAATTTTCTCCGAAAAATATCCACACATCATTAAAAGGAAAGGTTATGAGAATTTATAAAATGATTACCAAGGGAAAATGCTTTGATCTTTTATCAAATTCTCTCAAATAATTCTTTAAGGAAATGTATGGAGAGCCATCTGGAGAATTTGCACGACAATATTAGGGCTTAAAGGGTTTCAAATGGGTAAAATTTCAGTCTTACTAGCAAATCTGACTGTGCAACAGTTAGATAGTCGCTCAACATCGTTTCTCTTTTCTTCCTCCATTGTAATCTGGGGTCCTCAGCCTGCTGTGCCCCTAAGGAACACACAAAAAAATATTTATTCAGCATACCTTTCAAATTGCTCCATCCACTTTGAATTAAAGAAACACTCCCACACACCCACAACTGAATATACACAATGGCAATGAGGCCATGCATAACAGTCCTTAGACTTGGCACGTATCTAAGTTTGCCTGAGGCCAACTACACAGTATCTATAAATATCAGTTTGCTTTGTTATCATGCCTTTTCATATAACATAATAATTTATTGAGCAAATGAAGCTAATGAAGCATGACAATATATGAAACCATGTATTATTTAGACATTTTGTTAGCTGAAGTCAGTTTTTATGTTTGTCAATGATCTTTGGTGTTCCCTTGTTTTTTGTCTTGTTTTGGGGAACAGTCAGTTCACAGCTGAAAAATTCTGCGACCTACAATAATTAATTCTACCACAACAAAATCAAGATGCACTGTCTATATAAAACTTTTGGGGAGCAAGGGTAGCATAGTGGTGAGAGCACTCGCCTCCCACCAATGTGGCCCGGGTTCAAATATCAGCGTCAAAGCCATATGTGGGTTGAGTTCATTCTTGGTTCTCTCCCTTGCTCCAAGAGGTTATTCTCTGGGTACTCTGGTTTTCCCCTCTCCTCAAAAACTAACACTTCCAAATTCCAATGCACAGACACATTTAAAGGAGTTCATAAGAACTCCTAAGTGCTTCATGGGTAAGCAAATAATTACAATAAAATTACAATAATTGTAAAAAATCACAATAATAGCTAATAAAAAGTAACTATTACCTTTTATTAGCCAGACTAAACTGTTGAGTATCACTTGGGAAAAACTTACCAGTATTATGATCAATGAAATACTTTCCAAGGACTGGGTCATTGACCTCCTCCCAACCAAATGGCAACTCTAGAATTTAGAGAAAATTATCTAAAATTCTGCTGAAAGATATTTTACTGGATCGCAAAGGAACATAGCTGATGAAGAAAATGATGCATATTCCTAAGCTAGAGATTCTAAATTTCTACATCTTACTGATAAAGATCATTGGAATTTACCTTAGCACGTGTAAATATATTTAAAGAATATTTTTATTTTCATACACCACTATAAGCAGCGCACATTATTGACTACTACTAAGAATAAATCGTTCCCATTTACACAAACTCATAGCCTACACTACAACTGGAATTACTGGTAAACCTCTGGTCAAGTTTGTCTGCGAGCCAGTGCAAAAAACCTTATTCTGGGCCCCAAATGTTTACAAAGATTTGAGTACACCCCACGATTGGCCTGTTGAAGAACTATTGTTAATTTGCCAATCAGGTTGAAGGGAAAATCGAAGTGCATTTCCAGTACTTTGTTGAGTCCATTGACAGCCCAGAACAGGGATCTTGATGCTGCTTCACAGACGTTACTAGCTGGGGTAAATTGCATCTGTGACTGAATAATGTACTTTCTATCCTAAAGACATTACCAGCACCCCTCCGAACATCACAAATTGTAAACTGATTCATCTTTCAACATGTCAAACCAAGCAGTCTCTGGGACATATTATAGTCTCTATAATACTGCATGGTTAGTAGTATCTAAATTAGTTATGACAAGGTCAATGGTTTCACTCTCCTTAGAGGAATTAATCACAAAAGAATTTTGCACCATGAATCACTTATGATGAAGATCCTCTTTTTTAGCATAGATGGATACCAAGATCCAAATTAATTACTGTTATCACGGCTAGTGGTTCAATATGATTCAAAAGTAACACATACCATTTCCTACACAATCAGCAAAGGTCATTGGCTTGGTCAACCTGTGCAAAGTATAATGATACAATTATGTAGAAACTACTTTGTGATCCTCCTATTTTTAACATTCTAAATATCATTGTTGTATACTGTTACAAGGAGCCAGAATTTTGTCTTGGGTACCTATGTGGGTAACATGTAACATCATATTTTTCTATTCAATTCCTGGGGCCCGGACCAATACTAAGGGTCTTAAAATACCTGAGAACTGAAGGTACTGTCTGCAAGTGGCTAGACCTTCGGGTGGCTTGGATGAACATGAAAATGGCTGTCCTGTCTCCAGGAGGAGACATAAAAATAGTGTCCCCAATTAGTCCTTTTGTGCTAAATACATTGACACTCAAATAAATGTGCATTTCTTTTACATTTAAAAACTAACTTATTCTTGATTTTGCATTGAAACATTTCTGCACATGAAACATACGGTATTGATTTAAATATATACTATTCAGACAGACAGACCATGATGATATAAATACATGACTATCAGGTAGATCTTATCACCTCAATGAGCCACCAAATTCTTAAAACTGTGATATAAAAATCATAAAGCATTTAGTTTTTAGAGGATAAATAAAATTTTAATCTGGAGGATAAAAAAGCTTAATACTTTCACCAGTGTAAAAAAGACAACTCTAATTTAGAACAGAACTCTAAAATTATTGCTCTAATTTTACACATTAATAGGTTCAAAAGTTAGAACTGTCCTGCATGCGTGATTTCACGTCCTAGCCTGTTTATGTATTTTAGGAAAACTATGACATTTCACACGCTCATAAATACTTTAAATAACAAAATTCTCAAACTCAGAGGACATGTTTACAACTAAAAAACTCGCACAATTCCATCTGTCTGCGTCCGCTTTTCAGCATTTTCTAATTTTTGGCAAAGAATGTTCCAGAACCTAGTACTAGGCTGACAAATATTGTAGTCATTGAAAAAATGACACTAACACGTAGTATTCAATGGTATTTTATATTAATCATTTGATTCGATCCCATTATTTAATCAGCCTTGGTCAAGAGAAGAGAGACACTGTAGATGTGTACATTTAAAAGATCAATACTGATCTCATGAAATCCTTTGTAGAATGACAAATATTCTATAATGTGACCTTCCTAACGGGTAGGCAAATACAATTACATGAAACAATGTGTTCACATGTAGTTCCAGAGGTAAACAAAAATAAGCTGCTACTCATGACTCCATTAGTCTAGTAGTAATTAACCTGGTACAATATAAAAAGACATATTTGCGGATAAATCTATGTCACATTATATTTCTGGGAAAACCTTTGGAAATACAGTTTAGAACTTTGAAGATTTGAATATGTTTCTTAAACCATAAAGCACGCATGGTACCTCTCATTAATTCTACCTGATCTTGCAGTTAATAGCTTTTTCGTGTTTGACTTAACATACTATTGTAAGTTGGTACATAAAATAGTGATTTCTACCTCCCTTATGGAAAATTCAGACAAGTTTTCAATAAATTTGTTAAGTATCAAAGTAAACAATTTACGTCTTTCCAAGCTGTAAATTGTGTCTTAATGCTCCACTGCCCATACGTCTGGGTGATGAAACTTTGTCATCACCTGCTAGCTCAACTTGGAATTCTTCCATATCTTTTGTTAGACCATCATTAGTTTGTAATTAATGAAATAATAAATGGCAACACTTGAGATGTATAACTCTGTGAACACATTCCTTTGCTATTATTTCCGAAAAGCCTTCAGGGTATGCAAGAAAAAACAATTTCTCACAAGATATAGTTTAAATCTCATCAAATTAACGTTGTTGAATGGTTGAAATTAATCTTATTTTGTTAACAAAACAATAATTTGAAGCATGGAAGCTCTGGCATGGTACTGGAGAATGTTAAGCTGGCTGAAAGCGTGATAAATTTACAGTCAATTTGTACAAAGCCTCAAATCGCACCATTGGCAAATGCGTGTTACGCTATGTGTTATATTTGCTATTATTTATCGCCGACAAGCGAAACAGATGATAATTGAATCAGTTTGGCATGTTGCCACAGAAAACCTACGTTGAATTCTTTATAGAATAAAATACAAAGTAGCAACTGAACACAATTCTAGTGATACTTTTAAAAGCAAAACCTGCAAATACAGCGCTAAAACAAAGCAAACAGATCTACAAAAAATCGAGTGTGAAATCTACTTGAAGAATTACTTAAGTGTAATAAATATAATACTCAACAAAATAGCAAAACACGATTTTCACAGAATTTGATTTCATTAGTGACATTTATGATAACGCAGCGACCACTGACCAAAGACAAAATAAGATTCAAACTTTACAATATCAGAAGACATTTTACGCTGTATTTTGTTTATGATTCGCTCAGGATAATGGAATGTTGGCGATATTCTGTTGCTTTAAACGGCGTTATCTCGAAGACAGAATAGTTAAAATTGGGGAGAAGAACTGTTTACGTTTATAAAGATCGAGTGTCCGCCGGCTCTGTAAGGAAAATTTAACCAAAACAGGTGCAGTGGGAAGGGATAGAAACCGAGCGTAAAACAATTTAAGACAGAATTTGTTATTTTTAGACGCCCGTAACGTGTTGTCATAAACGTTCATTAAAAATATATGTTGTTATGTTTCACCGCGGCCGGCCACTTACAAAGAAATCTTGCTTATTCAAAGTGTCTCCTTAGGAAATAATGCATGGTTTTGCAAACTAACGAGCCTCAATTTGCAAGCATTCGGTGCTTACAATTTTAGTTAATGCACTAAACCTTGAAAAGAGACTCCGTATGATATAATGAACGACACGCGTACATACCTCACATAATTGCAAGATCTTTTTTGTTCCAACCCAGTCGATAGATCGAAAACTTTATTCGAGGCATCATTTCATAGGGATCGCTAAACTTTCAAAAACTAAACTTTCGATACCTAGCTAACTGAAGGCAAAACTATCGATGCGATTCCATGATAGAATTTCAGGTATTAGAGGTATATACTTGACGCATTAACGATTTCCTCTACAAGAAAAAACTCGCTGCATTTAGAGAGTTTTACGTAAATGTAACTTTCTGCGAGACATTTACGAAGACTTTCCAGGTGGTAAAAGAACAGACACCGACTAAAGGTGAATTTTCGCTGTATTGAATGCGCTAAGTTCCTACATAACTAAAATATTTGAGAATAATAAATCTCGAACGGAAGGGACTGTAGGAATAACAAAGCGACAGTTACGAAACATTTGGCTCGCTATAGGTGCTTCAAATGAGTACTTTCAAAAGCTGTTTGGGTTTTTACTAAACATCAACGACCAAACACGATCCAAATGTACACTAACAAGTTCGATCTATCCCCGCTTAACTCCTTTAATCGCCAGAAATGTGTAAATTCCATAAAAATAGCATTAATACTTGTGGATGACACACAAGGGGTTCAAAGATACCCAGTGAATTGTGAACTAAAAAACTTTTCCAGCACTTTAAAGCGGCCATTCGCTTCGGTAAGAGCCTTGCGAGCAGACGAACGATAGCTCTATGTTTAAAATAAAGCAAATGGCCGCCTCAGCGTTGGTTCAATGACAATACATCACCGGGATTTCGTTCCAAGTAGCAGCCACGGTTCACTAACCCTATACACTCACCTATCGCGCGGATCGACCCAAGACGTTCTTTTGGTGTTGTGGTCGATGTAATAAACTCGTCCATCGAAGTCCCTCGCTTCTTCCCAACCCAAAGGGAGAGGGACTTCGCAAGTTTTCTTTTTTGGCATAACGCTTGCCACACTTCTCTCTCATTCACTCGCCATGTTCGGCCATCAGTCACATCATACCATACTACAGCGGTTTTGTTCGCGATTTGAATTTTTTCGCGGCTATGTCCGGTTCAGTGGTTTCATTAACATTGTCCTTTGCGCGTCGAGCTCAGCGTGTAAACCACAAATCCTATGAAAAGCTCGCAGAAAACAACGTAGAGGATTTGGATTTCGCTCATGAAGCTTCTAATTTTACCCTAGTCTAGTTATTTGGACAATTTATTTCCCCGCAGATCGAAGTGTTTGATATGTGCATTGTTTGAGCAAATAAACCAATAAGGGCCCGGCTCCTACAATAACAGCGCGGTATGGTGTATGCGGTTCAAATCTTTGAGATACTTTGCCTATGTAGATCTCCGCCCCGTAGTGTGGCCATTGTTCGCGTAAACGGATGATTGGCCCACAGAATGGTAAGCCATTGTCCGGGCACTTGACAGCTACAGCGTTAGCCATCTGCAAAAATTCCACGCGTGCAATTGATCGCGCGTTGACAACTCATGCCGGAACAGACCCTTATGAGAAAGCATCGCATATCATACCGACCGTACCCCTTTATCTCACGAGAAATCAGCAATAAATACGTCTTGCGATGTGATCTTTTATTCTTAGCTCGCAGAAAAGCTCAGACAAAATCCCTGTTTCTTCTTGTTTTCATCCTATTTGTAGTTTACGTGACAACCATCAGATCAAAAATCGGAAAATGCGAAGATTCTCAGGAATTTTATGTAGGCCAGTTTTTCTCGAGAAAAAGACGCAAATATTGGCCTATTGGACATTGTGGAGCTAAGTGTAACACTTCTGTCATGCATTTCGAAAGAGATAAAGAAAATGCTGTGATAGGAAGATCAAAGTCTACCCCAACGTTCCGATCGTTACAAACACTTAAACTGGCATAAGTACCTGAATGTAGCAAGTCATGAAAATCTTTTCCGCGGTGTTTAGGCAAATATTTTCAAACTGGCGACATGGACTTGTAATCACAGAGGAAGGAACTGGTATTTTTCATCGAAAAACATTTATGAGCCTCAGGAAATGTGATAAATAGTTACATGTCCTGCTATTCAAATTCCTTCGTTTCTTAAATCTTACAGGGTCAAAGTGGGGTCGTCGAGTTATCCTCTTTGTACGAAAACAAGAAACATAAACACGCGTGTGAAACGCGCGGCAGCTATTTACGAGCATGGGCTTTTCCAGTGTGCAATTGTGCAGTGTGTATACAAGCTGAAGGTCCAGGGGGCACTCCCTATATAATGGCCAAAACGGGGAGGCTCCGTCCGAAAGGGGTGCCTTTTTCAGGTTTCAGTCAGGTATATAAGAGGGTAGGGATTCCACTAGTTGACTAGAACATGAAAGGGTAAGAAAATCTGTGATTTTGGTCTGCAAAAGGTCCTGCTCCTGACGTAACAGACGCATTTTCTAGATGTGGAAAAGTCAACAAAACTTCGTGTGATTTGAGTGATATATTCATATCTAACCCTTTCTCACCTGAGCCGCCCGTGAGTATCCACGTCCTTTTTTTGACCGCTAATGACGTCATCTGTTTTTTNACAGGGTCAAATTGGGGTCGTCGAGTTATCCTCTTTGTACGAAAACAAGAAACATAAACACGCGTGTGAAACGCGCGGCAGCTATTTACGAGCATGGGCTTTTCCAGTGTGCAATTGTGCAGTGTGTATACAAGCTGAAGGTCCAGGGGGCACTCCCTATATAATGGCCAAAACGGGGAGGCTCCGTCCGAAAGGGGTGCCTTTTTCAGGTTTCAGTCAGGTATATAAGAGGGTAGGGATTCCACTAGTTGACTAGAACATGAAAGGGTAAGAAAATCTGTGATTTTGGTCTGCAAAAGGTCCTGCTCCTGACGTAACAGACGCATTTTCTAGATGTGGAAAAGTCAACAAAACTTCGTGTGATTTGAGTGATATATTCATATCTAACCCTTTCTCACCTGAGCCGCCCGTGAGTATCCACGTCCTTTTTTTGACCGCTAATGACGTCATCTGTTTTTTAATGGTTAAGGACAATTTTTCCGCTAACTTGCGCAGAGTGAAGAGATCTTTCAAACAACAGCGAATGAGCACAACTCAGTCAAGGACACCGGAGAAAAAGGCAAAAAACCATGTGACATTGACCTGAAAACTTCCATGAAAATCTTGTTTCCCTACCCACCTATCTCTCCTTTCATCTAATCCTAAGATCCTGAAAGCTTTCCCAAAAACCTTTTCCAACCAAAATGAAGCCCACTAAATGCCCAGCAAGAGAAAAAAATGAGGCAATAAAAGCGAAAAAAGAGGGGAGGAGAGAAAGAGAAAAGTAAAGGTCAAGACTGCTGTGTTTGTGTATTTTGCTTTCTGTGCATGCCCCGAACTTCGCAACAACAACAACAACAATTTTACCGTACCAATAGTAAAAACAGAATTAAAATAAGATTATAACAAGCTAATAATAATTTGTGGTACTGACTTTCTGGAATAACCACGGGGGCTAGAAAGACTAGACAGCCATTTTCTTTACAATGAAATAAAATTATCTGAAGTCGGTACGGAATATTACATAAGGTAAGTGTCGCAATTACACATAGCAAAACGAACACAGACACGCAAACAAACACAAATAAAGCATACAACTAATAAGCAGTGAAGAAAAGCACACGAGATTACAAAAATATAGCTTTGAAACATACAAGGAATAAATTTATATTACGTAGTTAATAATTTTGCAGGAAATCCAGGTTTCATTTTTTCGTAAACTTTGAAAGTGATAGGAGTTTAGTATTGTCTTCTATAGAATTCCACACTTTGGGACCCAACCTCGTCCCCAGGGCTTTTCCCATTTTTTAAGGGAAAAGCCCTGGGGACGAGGTTGTTTGGGACCTTGAAATTTAATGTTAAAAATTCCAAAGTTTGGTTCTGGCTATTAATATTTTGCATCTGGATCAGAAGATCAGTACGACCTGTAAACGGCTCTGTGGTAAGTTCTAGCTCTTTAAAGCACAACAGTGATCAGAAAACCGCTCGACCTGCTTCAAAACGCGTTTTTCGGCAAAATCTTCGGGGACGAATGGGTTAAAGAAAGTGCATTAGCAGCTGAAGGGGTTGCATCGTTCTAAGCTAAGTGTGTAAAAGGGGCACCACACAGTAATTTTCAAGGAGTTGCAATAATTCCTCTAGTGGGTTTAATTTAACTCCTTACAGTGGAGTTATTTTTTTGGGAGTTATTTTAACTCCAAAAAGGAGTTAAAAGAACTCTTTTTCAGGAGTGAAAATGACCCCAGATATTGAGAAGTTAAAATAACCCCAAAAAAGGAGTTATCCTGTACCTAAAATTTTTACTCCACTTTCAGAGTTAAAGTAACTCCAAAAAGAGTAAAAACAACCCATGAAAGGAGTAAAAATAACCCCATTTTCGGAGTTATTTTAACTCCAGACTGGGAGTAAAAAGAACTCTTTTTCAGGAGTAAAAATGACCCCAAATTTGTAGTAAAAATAAGGAGTTAGAGTAACCCGAAAGAAGGGGTTATCCTGTGCCTAAAATTTTTACTCAATTTTTGGAGTTAGAATAACTCCCTAAAAATTACTGTGCATTTGTCATGAAGAGGTATACCAAAGGGGTACCTTTTCTGTTAAAATTAGTACGTATATAAAAGGGTCAGTAAGGGGTTGGACCTTGGGGCTGAATGTCCCCTTATAAAAATGAATTGAATAGGCACCCCGTGGCTGAAAAGAACGCAACTAGAAGCTCAGTGGAAGGAGTACTTGCAAGTGCTGCACTCCTGTGGCAGGCGTACGATGACGTTGGTTGGAAAAAACGATTTCTGTTTAAGAGAGCGATAGGAAAACTTGGAAGAGAATCCTGAACGTCGAACAACAACATTTATCTTTGGGAAGATGGCCCGTCAGTGAGGGTGCAATCAGCCCAGCATCTGGGATCACCATTCATGCGCAGCTGAGACAACTGGGAGACTATCGCTTCGAAGTATAAAACGTCACTTAGCTTAGCCTGTCCCAGGGGTTTAAGTAGTGAGGAATGGCGCGAAATGGAGGAAAAAGAAAACAGAAGAAGGTAAGCGACTCGCTCTCTCTTTCTTTATTTGTGCCATGCCCGAGGGTTGTACAAGGGTATTTTCGGGATTCGTGATTAGCTGTTTTCATTTTTCGTGAATAGCGAATTCAATAGTTATTCTTCGTGTTTCGTGACCAAAAGGTTGAGTCTGCCCTGAGAAAAACTCGAATTAATAATCAATATTCGTGTTTTCACCACTTATTTTTCCAGTGATTTTCAGTTCAGTTTCGAGATGAATCGAGACTATAAAAACTGTACGTTGCTATTTGCAGTCTTTCTTTTCCCGCTTTTTGCCACTTTGCTGTTTTGTCAGACACTCTTTTACCACTTTGTTCTTTGCGTAAGAACAAGGTATAAAAACGATACTTTACAAGCTGACTGTACAACTGAATGTACTTCAGGAACTGAAAAGACTTGGGAGGTGTTTAAATGGAGGGAGGAAGATCGTAGAGGGCGGATCATTCTAGCGCCATATGTTTTCTGTATTCAGTTTACATGCAAAGGGTTATACTTGTCCCTAGCGCTAGGATGTTCCTAGTACTAGGATCTTCCTACTTGAGAGGTAGGAAGATCCTAGCACCATGTAAACTGCTTTCGCTAAGAAGATCCTAGTACTAGGGACAAACGCGACAAAAATGGCGGCGGATCGTTCAGTGGCTAATGACGGCAATAAAGGCTGACCATTTCGTTTGGAGTAATCCACAAGCAGATTATTGTGTTAATTGAGCTGAAAGGTAGTGATATACGCCACTTAAGAGAGCAGAAGGACCCAAATTGCATTTTTGATTTTGTCGCTGTGACGAGTGCCAAGCGTGCATTGATATATTTGTTATTAAGATCCTAGGGTTACGTAATGTGTCAACGTGAATATTTAATAAGCAGGATATTTAAGTTACTTCTTGTCTGATTAAAGAGAGCTTACTTCCCTCGTATTGTTGTCTCTCACAAGTGTTTCATGGTGTCAGGATGTTACGTTACGCCATTTTTAATTCCTTCTCTAACCTTCTCTACTTGGACAACTCACGAGCCGAAATTTCTGCATGTAAACCCAACGTAAAGTTATTCCACCTTCTAGGATCTTCTTCCCTCCATGTAAACAGCCCTAATAGTGGCCAGATGAAGTATCATCAAGTTTTCTTTACGGTAGAATCAAAGTCGGACTTCGTTTTTTTCTTTTACGATAATCTTGGAACAATCGGGGTACAGGATTGGAATGGCAGTGATGCACTGAGGCTTTAGAACCGAGATACTACACTAGACCATCTTCAAACCCAACTCTATTCTTTCTATGTCTCGGATGAAACCCTATGGCTCAGATTAACACCTCTCGTCACCAAAGCAGGTATACAGTTAGCTCTCGATAACTTAAACCCTCGCTAACTCGAACCTCGAGCTTACTCGAATCAAAATCGAATTCAAATTGATTTCCTCCATACATTTACTGTAACTTTACCCTCGATAACTCGAACCTCCCGCTAACTCGAAGCCGTTTTTGTTTTCCTTAAATTTGATCATTTCTATATAATTTTACCCTCGATAAGTCGAACCATGTTTTAAGCCCATGACTCAGGTCGAAACTAAAAATTGTGCTGCTGTCCGAAACATTGAGTTTATTTCAAGGCAACGTTTCTTTGTTTTCCTCCCATCAAAACATCAAAAAATCTCTCGCTGCCCTGGAAATGAAGTATGCGTCGTTATGACTTACATTCCTTCACCATCCCATTTCCTTACAATCACAACAGCAACTTTTATTAATAAACAAATGATATTACAGAAGCATTGCCCGCAGTTAGCAAGGCTATTCGAGGCGGGACAATGCGTGCATATCATGAAGAATAAGGCTAACTATGGATAGTTTACAGACAGTAGATAACACAATACAGAAGAAAGAATTAAGCAAATAAATTTTAAAAATAGAAACTAAGAAGCAAGAATTTATTTTTCGCCATTTGGTTATTTGCTTTGAACTCCCGATAGCTCGCACTTTTTTCGATTTCGCTAGAAGGTTCAGTCGAGTTATGGTTGACCTGCACCGTTCTAAACCTCTTATTTCATTGCTCCCCTAAAATCTGCACTTCCATTATTTTCAGAGATAGGGGCATTGTTATGTCACAATCCCTATTGTTTTTCCAGCCAATCACAAACAATCTTTTAAATATAGGTGCAGATCGCCCCTCGAGTTATCGGGACTGTTGGCTGTAGTTCGTAGTTATAGGCGTCATTTGTCTTTGTATGTTCTCTTAATGCGCATTGTTTCTATTGATGGGGCCGGATTCAGGCCCTTTCTTGTTTACCAAGGTGAAGTTTAATTTCCTTTTCATGCGCGGTTTCCGGTCGCCACTCATGACTTCGGCCTACGTAGGCATCCCGAACGATCCCGCTTTACGCAAGAAACTGAACCTCTGGTACCCAGGGTATACTGAAGACTACATCTCACTAATCGACTGATAAGTACACCCTTAACAGCGGCGCTGGTCAGGGCATTTGCGGAAACAGGATCAGAGTAATGGTCTCTTTAGATGGTAAATTTGCATTACCTAAAATACTAAAATTCAAATTTCAGGTTTAAATAGTTCAGTCATTTATTTGTAATTCACCAATAGTTTTTCTTCATAAATGCTTCTGAAAACTGATTATGTCCTCTTTTTGTCAAGTCATTGTAACTACAGTCTTTACATCAGGCTAAAGCACAGTGATTGACAAAATTTCTATCAGCCTTAAACAAAAACTAACTGCCTGGGTACAATGGATGGCGGTGCGAAATTTCGAGATTGTGCAATAACCGACTTGTGGCAAGATCAAGGGATTACTATTTTCCAAAGAAAAATCGAGTACAATGTTGGCAGACAAAGCCGAGGGATCTGAAGACTGAGTAATCTTTTCCTATCAATCCTTTTGAATGTCTCAAAAGCTATTGATCCCTAGTACTATTCTAATATGAGTGACGAAAACTCTGACAGTTACAGCGTTAGGGCCTATTTGCATGAAGGTGGGTGACCCCAGATAGGTGAGGTAACCCTCTTAGGTGGGGTAAAAAAATAACTCTCCTTTACGTGCACTCTTACAACCTCGCCATCCCGGGCTTCACTTTCTCAAGATTTTTTAATGGTCGCTAAGCACGTAAACAAGAAAAATCCTGGCAAACCACGTTTTTTTCTGATTATTAATGCTCTTCTACACTCACTTACCGCTCTTGCTGCAAGCTTCAGTGCTGTGGCATTCTATTGTTACCTTTAATAATGATGCAAAGCCACCGCCAAAGTGAATTTAGCACGCATTCAGTATCGAGAATCCGACCCTGGCTTGGCGGGTTACCCCACCTTGAAACGCTTACATGGCAAAATTTTACCCCAGCTGAGAGGGTTACCCGGTCTGGCAAACCGGGCTGCCCGCCTTGAGAGATTATATGGACAGGCGGGTTACCCCACTTTATCGGGTTACCTCACCTACCTGGGGTCCCCCACCTCCATGTAAACAGGCCCTTAAATTTTTGTCCTTCACTCAATCGACACTCAAGCTGAACATTCCACCGGCGTTGGACTTAAGACTGGTTAGCAAAGCAATTTACCTTATCACATGGCAGCTCATTTTGGTATTAAAATATGTAATTACGTGTGTTCCTTTGTTTTCTCTGATCCAGATCTTTTTACCAAGAAAGTCTAAGCTGGACTACACGTGGTTTTGCCCATTATTTTTATTGGCTATTATTATTGGAATTCTTGTGGGATACTCCTTCTTAAAGTATTTCAATAACTCTTGTTAAAGCTAAGAATAAACTAACCTGTGAGCAGTGGTTTCTCCAGGCCGGACGCTACGTCCGGCCTGGAGAAACCACTGCTCGCAGGGTAGCGTAAGTCTTACCTCAAGTCTTGTTTTAAAGCAAGTAAAAGTTTCAGCTGAAGTCTACTCATTGTATTAGTCAATAGCCACTTATACTGAGAAGGGAGGCCTGGATTTTTTTACCCGACACTTAAATGAAGGACTTTTCCCGGAGCGCCCATAGGACTTGACGCATTTTGGGATAGGTGATTCCCTTGACGTAAAAGTGACGAACCATAGATCCGTGGACGAACCTTTACGGTTGTGGCTCACATTCTAGCATCGTTCAGTCCAAGTCTTCTCATTTGCTGGCTCCGAAAAAACCCTAGCTAAAGCTACCAGCTCTAAGGCCTCTGATACAAGATGTTTCTTAACTGAACCCGTTGACGAGGTTTGTCGATTGCAAATACTCTTCACCATTTGATTTTTCTTTATTTTTGTCCTCCCAATCTTCTTGCCGCAAGGATTAGTTACTAACTATTATTCTACGTCGTATATCCGGCTGTCCTCATTGGTTTGTTGCGGCGGTATTGCCATTTTAAGTGTTTTCTGATCTCACCCTTCTCCAGTGAGTTCAGCCGTACAAAGAATTTTTACTCAGTACTTTGTAGCTACCGAATCCTCAGTCGGAGCTGGGATAGGTTTTGAAGCCAAACTTATGTTAATGTAGTTCATCTTCAAACTCTCTCACAGAAACGTGATCACATTAATGAGAACGAGGTCTCCTTTAACAAGCGTGGATTGAGAAAAAAAAGGTCTTTGGATTGGCTCTCTAAAACACAACCTCGTTCCCAGGGGTTTTATACTAAGCCACGTAATCAGTTTTGAAAAATTTGAAAACTAAAGTTGACCATTTGATAAACTTGCCGGGCAGACGCCGAACTCGAAATTTTTCT